AGTTGCGAGGAGCTGGTGGCACCGCCGCCTCCCCCGGTACCGCTGCGGTGGGCTGGGGCTGGCAAACAAACCGATACCGGGGCTCTCGCCAGACCTGTAGGCCCGTCTTCCTGCTGTTCAACTTTTTTATTGTTCCCCCTTCTTCTCCCCCCCCTGTCTTCCCCATCCCCCCTTTCCGAGTGCACTGGCTTTCTCGACAGCCAGGGGTTTTCACAGAACGGGAGTCCGAAAGTCTAGACTGTGAACCGGAAAATAATAGGGGAAAGAATGGAAAGTTATGTCAAGGGCTTTGGGGGAAAAACATCGACGTATCGAACAAAGGTCCTGCCTGTATTGGAGAGAGAGGCCTGCATGTGAGGCCCGATTGTGTCGCATTTACACACGGGGAAGAAATGAGTGCTTGGTACTGGCCTAAATTTATTCTGTAAGTCTGGCATGCAACTTGGGAACGTTTTTAGAGTGTGTGCAGTTTGTTTTGAGGGTGGTTTTATTATGTGTAGCAATCCAATAATTTAATTTGAAATATTTTTTTTTTTTTCCAAAAGACTGTTTAGGTTTTTTTTTCTGCCTTGTTCAGCAGAAATAATATTGATCCAGAGGTTCTAACACCATAAGGCAAAACTTTACTCAAGCAGGGTAACTTTCACAGTTTATGTATTGTGTGTGTTATGAATATTGAGCTTCCTGGTGCTTTAAAGACTGTCAGAAAGAGGAGTTGAGTAGTTACCACCTGACAAATATGAAGTACATCCTTCATAATGAGAAAGAAGATGAATTCTAATGACTTTAATTTTATGGACTTTTCTTAGGGAAACTGTCACTGCGGATATACTTTCTTTGTAAGACTAAAAGCTGGCAGGCATTGCTGTGATTATTTCTGTTTATCTCTGGTATAGTCTCTTCAGTTTTCTCTCTCTTTCTTCCCTCCTACCCCTAATGCTAGACTTCTAATTGTACAAGGGTGTTATATTAGTATTTAATTTGGTGCTCAAACAGTTTCATGAGGTTTAAGTTTTTTATTACACTAAAAGCTTTCAAATATATTTTATTTTTTTATCTATATAGAGACAAATTTGCATAATGAACATGAAAGTAGTACTTGAAAAATAACTGTACCTTTCCATTGTTTGGTTCCTTATTTAATAAATATTGATAGGGATTAAATGTATTTATGAAAATATTAGTATTTCACTCTTTGCATCTACTGTTTTGGCATTGAATGTTATATTTCAACTAAGAAATTTAAAAGCATTCTTCTGGTAAGTAAATAACGTAAATAATACTTCTAGTTTTCAGAAACATATGCTTTTAATTTGTAATAGCTTCTATATTTTTAAAGTGCATCTGATTGTGAGTGTCTTGATTCTGTACATACACTGTTTTTGATCTTAAAATGGAAGGGTATTTTTAGTTTTTATTGTTTGGTGTATCCTGTTCTCATAGAAGTATAGATAATCTGTGTGGGGTTTTTTTTGACTTCCCTACTATAGTGTCTCTGAAAAAATTGGGATTAGTGAGCTTAAATTGGCAATTCTAAGTTTGACTGTTCTTCAGTCTCCAGATGGCTCCATAGGTAGGAACCTAAACAGGTCTTAGCTGTTGGCAGAAAAATTGTAGGTCATCCACAGTGTGGCATTACTACTTATTAATATAGCAAATCTACTTCAGTAGGAGTGCCGACCTGTTGAGTAAGAGGCTTATGAAAATGGAGTCTTTTGATGTCTTGCAAAAGTTCTTCAGGCCAAACTGACCATTAGGGAAACAACTTGTATCTTCCCAGTAAATGAATAATCAGAACTGTCATTCTCAATCAGGAATCACACACAAGTTCATTTTTCATTTTTCTTTTTTGTATTGCACTTTGACTGTGTGCCTTCAAACTCAGAATGCAAATATTATAGGAAAAAATGTAATGAAAACTTGTTCTTGAATTTGAGGCCTAAAGCTATCGGCAACAAAGATGTTCTAGTCCTTCTGCAGCAGTTGAACAAAAATGTAATACAGTTGACTATAACGTCATGAAATAAGCCATGATGAATTTTTGTGTGGGTCCTCATATCACTGATAAGTACAGTTATTTACTTTGAGATAATCCAGGAAGGTAATCTGACGAAATTATTTTTTTTCTATGCAATAAAGTTGAAGCACGAGAAGGAAAGTTATTGTTTGACTAACGAACATGTTTGTACTTAATTTGCAGTGTTAGTGAATCTCAGAACTATCTGTGTTTGACTTATGTTTATAGGCCATGCTATATTTTCGAATAAGCTAATTAGTAAGCATCATGTAGAACGCTTCTGATCACAGGTCTGTCTTCTGTCACACTGAGACTAAATTATTGTGACAAAGTATAGTCAAATCCCAAAGTTGTACAACATGGTCTAGTATCACACTGTCAAAAACTTAACCTGGAATGTTTCTCAGATCTCCCGTTGGCATGTTGGATGATCTGTGTCCTGTTCATCGCCTGCCAAATTAGTAATGCTTCCTATAAAAAACTTTGTGGACTCCCTGACGTCCTTAATAGTGGAAACTTTTCATCAAGCTATCACTGCCCCATTTGGTACTGACTCTGAAGGTAGTAGTGCATCTGAATTATTTTGGTAGGGTAACAGATTACCTTTGAGTCAGTGAGTTTATTTTTCTGAAGAAGTAATATTTTGAATTTGCTCTTAATATTTTAATCTGTATATAATATCACAGTAGATTTATGGTAGTATGTGACCCAACGTCTTGCTGAACATTTTCATAGCTAAGTTTTAATTTGGGACATGAGATTGTTCCGCAGTTACCAATGTCACATTAATACTTTCTTTTTTTCCTTCCTGATTTTTTTTTCAATTTACATGAAATAATGTTTCTCAAAGAGCAAAACTATTTTCAGACTTCTTGTTGGTGATCAATTATGACAAAATATTTGTATGTAGCTGCTTGTAGCAGGATGTCTTTTCTAACAAAACTATTAACATTAAAACATGACTTCAGCAGTCTTTGCTAAATAGAAAATTTCTAGCTACATATGATATCAAGTTTACAGTCAGTGTGAAGGACAGTGCTACGTCAACCAGCTCCTCCGCTGCGTGCTTTTGGATAACAGTGATGGTTGCTTTAGTGCGAAGGTTGGTTTTGAAGAGCAGTTGTTCTCCTAATCCTGCTGTGTGATAAAACTTTTCTCCCCAACTTGGTAGAGTCTAACTGTGTAAATATGCAGTCATATTCTCCTTTACTTCTGTCTGGCAGCCAGGGTTCGAGCACACATAACCAATCTGTTTACTCTCACTGTCTATAATAAGGCTTGTCTTGCAATGTACTGACTGTTGCCAGTCTTACTTGACTCATGAGCATACTCAGTACAAATATGGCAGAAAGCTGCCATGGATAAGAGCAATAGATAGTCAGCTTTTGAAGTCAGGACTTTCAGATAGGAAAAACTGGAAGAGTTAGGTGTTCATCAACAAAGTTGATTATAGTTATCTAATACTGGACTTTAACATTAAAGATGCCTGAGAAGTACTAGCAATGGTTTCCAAGCCATAGTTGCCCACAGTTGCTCCAAAAAAGCCTTTCTTGTCATGATTCATATAGTAAGCCAATTTGAAAAGGACCTCTGGAGGTCACTTGG